TGGGCATGCAGAATCAGATCGTGCAAATGGACAGCGTTTGCAAAATCGCACGATCAACGATCGGCTTTCCAGAGCGGCAAACACGACGACCTCCTGCCAGTCGCGGGCGGCCGCGCTTCGCGCCGCCGCGCGCAGAACGGCGAACCCGACGATCACGCCACGCGCAAGCACATCAACATCGAATTTCTCGCCCAGCGCCGCACTGAGGCCGTTATGCGAGACGCCACTCCGCAGCGTTGGTTACATCTACGAGCGGGCAGCGGCGGCCTCATGGGCGACTGCAACGTGCCCGGTCTCTTCGCGGGAAGCTATTACGCCATCACCCACGATTACAACGAGCTCGCCCGCGCGATCTCCAAGTGCACGCATGCCCACAGCGACGTGCGAGGGGCGCCGTCAACGTTGGCATCGGGCTCTTCGTGGGCGACTTTCGGAACACCCTAGCCATCCCACCCGAACCGCCGCCGACGAGATCCGCAACATCAGCAATTGCCTTGACGAGAGCGGCGACGCTTGGGAATGCAAGCGGAATCGCACCAAGGCCAAGATCGTATTTGCAGCTTCGCGCCGAGGCATTACCCGCGCACTGGCGATGGGCAGTGGCCTGGTCGGGAGAATTTTACCAGAAATTACGCACCTCGGCGGCATGTTCTCCGCGACTGGCAGTAACGTGGCTGAGACACGTGAACGTATGCTGGCTGTGAACAGGGCTTGGGATCAGCTCAGTGGGTTCTGGTACTCCAGCGCTGGGCGGCGACCACGTCGGCTTCTTTTTTGGGGGTGCGCTCACGGTGATGCTGCGTCGGGAAGCGATAGCTACCTTTACATCGGGGCGGATGTTCAAGCCCTCGAGTCGAATCTCGTCGACAGGATGCAGCCCATGCTTTAAGAGCGAGCTCGTGCAGAAAGACATAGGCAGCACAAGTCATGGCCCACCCTGAATGAATGGCAACATTGGCGATTGGCACCAGTGGCTTTGAAACTCACCGTGCGTAGACCATGCTGGTGGCGCTGTATTTTGACGGGATTATTTGGCACCCTGGCGGTCGAGGGCAAGTCGAACAGCGTCCTGAGGATAACTGCGAGACCAACGCCGAGGCCCCCATCCACCGGTGGGCGCGGCAACTCTCCGGCGACTTCAACGCGTTGCCCACGTTGGACTTGGCCACCAATTACGCAATGAATGGCAACCCAGGAGTACAAGACGACTATTTCACGGCGAAGAACTACGCGACATGTACACGGCATCGGACTCACGGACCTTTTTTGGCTTCTCGTTCTCGGACGCGGCACCCGCGCGCCACGGCGCTGGACGCATTACTTCCCGCGGAGCTCGAGGCCGCCGACGCGGAGGGCGTCGCGACCGTCAAGAGCGACATCAAGCTGCAGAACGGGGAGGCACGCGGGCGCACGTTTACCTCGCTCCCGGCTCTTCGCAGACATCAGGCTCACAGCGAGGGGCCGAGTCAACGGGGGCGCAGCGCACTCAGCATGGTGGTTGTCGATAACAAGTGCCTGGTCTGCGACGCTGTCTTCAGATGCCGAGACCGCTGCTCTCGGCGCGCACTGAGGAGCTGGACAGAACGCCGTTGCATTTTGTCCAACACCGCGCAGATGTGACATTAAGGGCCGCTTGAAAAGCTGGAATATCCCATCTGTCGCGTCGCGTCGACGTGTTCTCCGGAGGCCCCCCTGATCCGCGGGCCCCCGGGTCTGCCCCCCCCCCCCCCCCCCCCCCCCCCTTAACGGACCTGCAGAAGGGCGAGAGCCACGTCTTGGGGATTTTGCACGCACGTCGTCGCGAGCGCGGTCCAGTGCACCTGCCATTCCACGTCGGTCGTCTGCGCCACCGCGCACCAGAACCACGCCGACACGAGCGACCGACGAGGCGATCGCGATCCCGAGCGAGTTTTACATCGAGCTAGCACGACTAGCGTCAGAACCTCCTAAACTACGGATCCACCAAAAACGAGAACGCCGAGTCCGACGCCGACGATTTCGAAACCGTCGTGTTCACCTCTAACGTTTGGCTCGGTGGAGGCGCGTCGGGGCCATTTGCCTTCCCATGTAGCAGTGCCTGTCCACTCTTCTAAGAGGCCGTGGATAGTGCGAGGCTTGCGCCATGTGCTGAGCGCCAGAACGCCGACGCCAGCTTCCACCGGGCGCGTCGCTCAAGCAGAGTGGCCGAGGACCCAGATCTTCGCCGCCATTTGCGTTGAGGATGAAGGCATCGCGGCGCCCCCTGGCACCCTCGCAGGCGTCTGGGAACACTGGCTCCGCCGCCGATCGCGGCAAGAGGGGCGCGGCGGCAGCGGCGGCGGCCCCGCCGGGGGCCAGGCGAGGAGGCAAGCGGCGCATGAGGAAGACAAGAAGAACAAGGCGCTTCAGGTGAAGGGAAAAGGTCTCCGTGAACTTCTGCCACTTCTACTCAAGCAGGTGCTCAACACACGCACGCGCACGCACGCGCACAATCGGTAAGGGCGATCGAGGGCACCTTGCTCGACGCGTTCATATTTCCAAAGGATCACCAGACTTCCGTGGCGATTCAGCAGGAGCAGGAGGCATTCGCATAACGGGTCGACCAGTGCTGCACGGGCGAGGAGAATGACCCCGACGCCCAGCCGCTCGGCCCGCCTCGCGCGCTCCTCTTCGGGGCGATGCTGGACGCGCTGGCGAGCACTACAGAGGTGGACGGCACCGTCATGACTGCCATCAAGAAGCCCGTGGAGATTTTCAACGCATGCAAGAAGACAGAGGACGCGCAGCAGCTCGTCAGGGCCCGCGGCATCGCGAAGACGGCGCAGGACGACCAGGTGAAGCTGATCCTCGGTACCCAACCCTTGGGGGACAGGAGGTTTCCGCTGCTGGGCGGGCTTCGCCAGCTGGGCGGGGGCCATCTGAAGGGCATTTACGGTAAGCGTCAGAACGCTCGTGGGCCTACCTGCCGTGGTCCACGTCCGAAACCTTGTAGGTTCGTCGCCACAGTATTGCGCTTTGTCCTTCGATTTGGGCCTGTCCATTGGCGCATGGAGACAACAGTCGCCAGAAAGCTCGGGGGCCTACCGCCCGTGGACTATGTCCGAAACCTGGTAGGTTGCGTCGCCACAATGTTGCGCCATGCCGACCGGGCTCGATCATTGCCCGCGTGTATTTCAGTAGTGTCCGTCGGCCACCTCGGCAACGCTTTCCCTTACCACTCCGCGATAGTGATGGGCATTCCGAGCGGCAGCGGCCTGCTGTCATCACGGCGACGCCAGCCTCACCCTTCCGTAGCCAGTGTTCACACGGAGGTCTATTGTGATGGCCGCGTCGTGGATCTTGCCGTTTTTTTTTGTGACGTGTGAGGCGTGGGCGCTCGGTGTCTGCGAGTGCCATGACTACTTTGGATCCTGCGCGAGGGCGAACGTGACTCTACAGTAGAGGCTCCGCTTTTTGTGTCGCCTGGTCCCGTGCTTGCCGGTAGTTGCCCGGCGGAGGGGCGCCTCGCCGACCGCGCGTTCAGTGGGGCGGATTGGGCCGGCCCTGCACATGCGCGTAGCGCGCAGCGGCGTTCGTACGCGCTCGACGCGGGCAGAGGGCTCTCCCCAGATCTCCCGAGTCGTCCGTCTCTTCGAGCCCCGACCCTATGTTTGAAAATCGTCTTTGTCGTTCGCCTCGTTTCCATAATCACCATCGCCATCATCAGCAGCACCTGCTTCGTCATCATCATCATCCTCGTCAACGCCCTCATCATCATCGGCCGTGGGCCGCCTCGTAGGGAGCTACACCGAGGGCACCAGTGGCGCTGACTGCTTGCTGACCCCAGCGAATTTCGACACACCCTTCACGCGCCCCGTCACCGCATGACGAGCTTCACCGAAGGTCAGACCGAAGGCCCCAGCGGCAGCGCCCGCACTGCGTCACTCCGAACATTTCGGCTAATTCCTCACACGTTTCGTGACCCCACAGGGGGCCCCACCAAAGGCCCCAGAGACAGCGCCCGTATGGCATCACCCCATTCAGCTCGACACGCACACACACACACATGTACATTCACATTCACATTCAGCTTCACATTTGCATTCACATGCGCATTCACATTCACACTAAAATTCGCATCCACAGTCACATTCGCACACGCACACGCACACGCACACACACACACACACACACACGCGCGCACACACACACACACGCACACACACACATCACACGTTTCGTGACCCCGCAGGGACCCCCACGGAAAACCCCAGTTGCAGCGCCCGCGTGGCGTAACCTTACAATTCGACACGCCACTCACACGTTTGGTGACTCACGTGGAACCTCACTGAAGGCCCCTTTGTGGCAGCGCCCGCATCGCTACACTCGCGCATCCCGCGCTACACCTCACGCTTCGTGACGCCATAGGGACCCTACCGAAGGCCGCAGCGGTAGAGCCCGCATTGCGCCCCCTTTCGCAATTCGGCACGCCTCTCACACCTTTCGTGGCCCTCCTTCGTCCCACCTGCCCTGGGGCACCCACACTTGCATATGGCCGAGTCTCTCGCCAGGCTAACTTTTCTAAGCTGGCCATCGCTGGCGCCGACGCCCAGCAAGGGCTGCCCGCACAGGGAGTTCGGCGATGGGAACCGTGGAGTCCTCGGTTGTTACAGTGCAGCCTCGCCGCACCGGTCATCCAAGCGGGCGTGCAGTTCGCGCCGGTGTGGCGAGCAAGTCGGAGCAGAGGAGTGCGAGCGACCCCCCCCGCACTCCTCGGGCCGCTCCCGCACGGACGTTCGTTCGGAAACCGCTTTTCACTGCCAGGTGGCAAGCACACGAGGCGCCACGGGCAAGTGACAGGCAAGGCGGGGGCAGTACCTGCATAACAAGCGAGCCCGCTCGGCGGAGCAATGCGAGGCTTGGCCTCTACATATGCCTCCGAGGCTCTTGATAAAAAGGGCGGTAGCTCTTGAAGCTGTGGCTATGACGTCCGCCGCGCAGTGCAGCAAAGAGGCTGTGCGATCTGCTGCGTCCGACGTCAGTGCGACGCTTCCGACGGAACCGCTGAAGTGCGGAATCGTCCAAATACTAGTTTTCAAATTTTCAGCTGCTCTCCACGCGGGACAGTACGGCAAAAGTGCCGCCCCGTCCGCTGCGGCGACTTCACGCACGCTGCCTCAGCACCAATGGCGAAATAGCTCGCCTTCTGTGGCGCGTGACCGCGGCCGAAAATTTCGCCCGTTGGTCTTGGCTCGAGGTTGACAAAACAGCGCACGATTGGAGAAGGCATCAGATCTCCGAAGCAGTGATTGTCGATGATCCTCAGGACGTGCGTTATTGCAATGCGTGTGTGTTGCTCACCACCCACCAAACCACCCCAACCCGACCCGAAGGCCTCAATTTGCCCTCCATGTCCAGTTGGGAGGGGTCGGGGAACATTGAAAAAATACATATGGAACCAGTACCCCCCCCCCAACCCGAAATTGGGGTCTTCGGGCTGGGTTGGGGTGGTCTGGTAGGTAGTCAGTTACCCCACTCGGCTTGCGTTGGTTTTTGTTGCGCCGCCCGCGTCTCATCGAAGGGCCTCGGCGGACAGGCACGCGCTGGCGCCAGCACACGTGCTGAGGACCATCGAGGCTGGACCATGCGGAGCATGCGACCGATGTGAGATCGGCGGGAGGAGGAGGAGGAGGAGGAGAGCTGGCGCGCGCGGCCTCTCCCCGCCTCTTAGCAGCCCTCCAGCCTTCCAAGAGGCCCCTCTGGAAACGTTTCGGAGGAGGAGGAGCGAGGAGGAGGAGGGAGGAGGGAGGAGGGAGAAGGAGGAGGCCGATGCGTTCCAGGAAGGCGCCTCCTGTCTTGGAAAGCCGCCCCCGCTCACCCCGCTCCCCTTGCGCGCGCCGCCAGAGACGGCTTGTGAGTCGTCGCGAGACAGGCAGTACCAATCATCACCGAGCGCGTTCCACTACGTACTCGTAAAGTGCCTACTCACAAACGTCCGAAGAACACATGCCTGCCTCGATGTAATTTATCGTAGATCCCCCGCGGCGGATCCAGGCCGTTTGCGAGTGGTTACTTGGCGAGTAGTGGAGCGCGCTCGTCTACATCACTCTGCTGCCGCTCCTCGCGCCGGGAGGGCGCTCCCGCTCGTCGGGCTTCGGGCACCGCACTGGTGGTGGAGGAGGAGGAGGAGGAGGAGGAGGAGGAGGAGGAGGAGGAGGAGGAGGAGGGGGAGGAGGACGAGGGAGGAGGACGAGGGAGGGAGGAGGAGGCGGAGGAGGAGGAGGAGGCGGAGGAGGAGGAGGAGGAGGAGGGGAAGCGCTGGCGGCGGGTAGAAGGGGGCTGGGCCAGGGCTTCGGGGGGGCTTCGGTCACCGCACTGGCCACCAGGCGGGCGCCCCGACGGTGCTTTCGGCCAGCGCCGCGGACGGCACTTCGGCCCGCGCCGGGCTCGCCGTGGCCAGCACGGGCCTGGTGCTGCGCAGGGGCTGCCGGCAACCACCGATGGCCAAAGGCTTCCGCCACTGCCGGGTATGGCCAGGACCCCGTGGTAAAAAACACACGCACACACTGTGGGAAAAACACACACGCAAAAAAACACACACTCACACACAAACACACACACACACACAATAAACACACTGTGTGTGCTTTTGTCCCCACTGTGTGTTTTTCCACAGTAAGGGGACCCGGTTTGTGGTAGGGCCCCGGAGCCTTCGAATTGGCCAGAAACACTAAACCAGGTTTGCCGTAGCTGGTGTTTTTTCGGGTGGCGGCAGTTCCGGTCAGTGGAAATGGGGCGGGGGGGCGCCCCCCGGGTACACATCACTAAACCAGGTTCCAACAAACCCAGTTCTACCAACGCCCGACACTGCCGCCGACCCCAGTGCAGGAAGTGCCCCGCTGGGCCTGGGATCGCTCGGACGTGTGCACTTTTTCTCGGCGGGGAGCATGATCCAGCGAAGGCATCTATACACCACCACCGTGCCAGGTCAGGGCCATCCTGGGCCCCAGGATGGTGTATAGACCCTCCTGGCCTCGGCCAGGATGGCGTATACACCATCCCAGGGCCCAGGATGGCCCTGGCCTGGCACGGTGGTGGTGTATAGATGCTTTTTGCGAATATGAAGGAGCCTCCTGGATCACCCTGCGAAGAAACCACGCACGACACCAACAAAAAAGCACAGGGAATGGACGTCCGAGCGACGGGGAGTGGAAAACGACCGCCTGGGCGGCGCGCGGGGGCGGCGGCCCCGCGGGGCTGTCGAGGGCAGTGCGCCCCCGAGCGCCGCTGCCGCTTGCTCCTCGCCCGCGCGGCCGAGGGCGCGCACGCCGCGCGCGGCCACGGCGGGGCCCGAAAGCTCGGATCCACGAAGGCGCAGCAAAGTTGCTCGCAGCAAGGTAAACCTCCTCCTCATGCCCTCCTCCTCCTCCTCCTCCTCCTCCTCCTCCTCCTCCTCCTCCTCCTCCTCCTCCGCACTGCCGTGGGTACTTGATCCCGAAAGCTCGGATCCCGCTGCCCCTCCTCGTGTCTCTCTTGCGCGCGCGCCGCCTGCCTACCTGCCGCTGTCTTGGGGCTCCAGGGCGGGGCCGCTCGTCCCGCCCGCCCGCCCTTTTTCTCTTTCTGCCCCTGCTTCTGCGGCGCCGCTGCGCCTGCCCCTGTGGTGGGGCCGGGAGCGGCCTCGAAGCTTTGGTGCCTCGCCAACGGAAAAAGAGGAGGGGATGGAGCGGGAGCCAACACGTCTTGCGCTTCAGCCGAGCAGCGAACCAGCGTGGAGTTCACGCCGTCGGTCATCCAGCAGGCGGGCCCCCCGCCGCGCTCGCCCGTGGCAGCCCGCGCAGAGCGGCCTGGGAACCAGCCGGGGCTACCCCACGGAGCCCGAGCCACCAGCCCAGCACCAAGGGGGAGATCCCCTCCCTGCCGGGGCCGGACGGACGCTGGGCCCCCAGCGACGTCCTCACTGGCCTCGAGCGCGAATGGCTGGCACTTGGGGAGGGACTCCTGTTGCGCCGAAGGCCCATGCCAGAGAAAGCCATCAAGCTGCGCGGCGAACGCACGCTCATGGTAGACAGGCGGTGCCACGCGCGAGTCATCCTGGACCTGCAAGCCACCGGCCTCGTCAGGGTCGGGGCAAGGCGCGGCGCAGCGGTGGGAGCGCTCTGCGTCTGGAGGAGCGGATGGCAGGTGGCAAGGCTGAGGACTCACCCGCTGCGCAGGCTGCTTCGTCGTCTGGCTTCGACTGGTGGCAAGCGCGTTCACTGCTTCGTGAAATCCAATTATTCACCGCCCACCACACCACCCAAACCCAACCCGAAGGCCCCGATTTGCCCTCCATTTCTAGTGGGGGGGGGGTCGGGGAACACTGAACAAACACATGGAACCCGTACCCCCCAACCCGAAATTCAGGCAAAAGTCGGTTCTTCGGGTTGGGTTGGGGTGGTTTGGTAGGTAGTCAATTATGAATGCGACAAAGAGATGGAGGTCACGCGGGAGCCAACCGCAGACGTTCAATTCGACTGAGCAGACAAATCTCGCACGCGCGCGCCTTCCCTCCACGCTGGACGACGATGATACGATGGCGCTTATGATGGCGAGGAGGTGGCGGGGTGATGAACGGATCGAGGAATGATGAGATGAACGGATACCCAGGTCGGCAATCAGCACAGATGTGATGTTGGTTTGCCAGGTCGATTTGACCATCCATGGCGGTTGCTGCGCAGGTTGTTTTCAGGTGGCCGCTCGTGAAACGACTTGACGGGGCCACTTGCCGCTTGAAGATGTCGAAGCAGAAGGCACGCGCGCGCCGGGGAGCCCTCGACCGCGCGTAGCTGATGACGACCTTGCCGTCGCTGAGTTCTAGAACGAGAGAGGTGATGACACGCGCTGGGCAATTCCGAACCTGACAGCCGGCGAGCTGGAGGCGCGTCCTACTTCGGCCAGCCCTCAAAAACCAAGTCCCACAGACGGTGTGCAAGGACAACAGCAGAGTAGTTAATTCCCCGCGTGAGCGAGGAGTTCTAGAATGTGGAGAAGGGTCGGAAGTACAATAACATGCTCGATTTACAACACGGGAGTGTTGGAATTCGTCAAGTCGCACACCTTGTTGTTTCGGAAAAGCCAGGCCCGAACGTAGAGTTGGTCACCGCGTTCATCCAGGGGCTCATGGAGAAGTTCGCCTCTGGCCAGTTGGACACAGACGGGGCGAACGAAAACAATGACGAGCGGGAGGTGGCTTTCAATGTGCGCCCAGCTGCAGCCGCGCGACGACCAGCAGCCGCCGAGCAACCAGCCGATCAGCCACCACATCCGGATTTCCGATACTGAAGCGTCCCGCGCATGTCGAAGTTGACGGTGGCGTCGCTACTACTCCGAGTCCGAAGAGGAGCAGGGGTGGTGGTGGCACGGCGGTGCAAGACCCTGGTGAGATCACCCCCAGAGCTGGTCCAATCCTTCCTCCGAGTGATGATTGTCTCAGCGACCGATGTCCAGAAGAGGTATGTGCCAGTCAAAAACATGCAACGTCAGGTCAGGTCGGGTCAACGTCGATAGGCTCGCTCCCCCACCCCCACCCCGCCCGACCCACGAGAAGTCTGTCTCGGCCTTCCATGCTCACGAAGTGGGGGGCGTCGATCCGGGCAGCCAAGACAGCACTGGCTCGAGACTCGGCCTTCTCCCTCCCTCGTCCACTCCCCTCCTCCTTCTCCACCTCCACCTCCTCTTTCCTTCATCCGCCCCCTCCCCGGCCTACCCCTCCTCTTCCTTCTCACCCTCCCACTCCTCCTGGAGGTGCGTGCGTGGGAGGAAGGGAGGAGTTGTTGTATCTATGTCGTTTTGGCTGCCACTGGAAAACCGAGGCGATAGCTGAAATCACTTTCTTATCATTCGAGTGGGCATTGCCGCCGGCTCCAAAAGCACTGCCTGTTCAGCATAGGAGCTGTTGTCTGCGAGGCAGCAGCCGCTGGCAGCTTCGGAGCGCTCGTGCTGCGAAGCAAGGCTTATGTATTGCTTGTTCTATTTCGGCCGCTTCGAGTTTTATCGGTGTCCAGGCTCTTCCTGTCAGCTCGGTCCGGCTCGAGAGTGCGACCTAGTTTCAATGTATTTTTGAGCCCAGGAGACAGACATATTCGCTCCATGTGCGATACACCTTTGTCTCAATATCCAGACAAGTCCGAAGTTCGCTAACGCATGCGTCGTGTAGTGCAACTTCGACGTATGGAACGAATTTACGCATCTCATGTCCCATTGCGAATATTGTTGCGTATTGCCCATCGTTGTCTTTCCGGTGCTCCACGCGCCTTGGCTCTTCTTCTCTCTAGTCGGCATGGCGATAATGGGCTCGTCGCTGTCCATTGTCGACTGCGCGAGCGTTGGTTCATCCGTGTCGCTCGCTTCGAGCGCTCTCTGCGCTGGGCTTGTCGAGGGTGGTCTCCGCGTTCTCGCTGTCCGTGATGGAAATCGCCTAATTGGGAAGTTCGATGTTTGTGAGGTCGTTCACGCGACTACGGTCGTCGATGTCACCCTTCGATGTCTCTGTATCTTGGTTCATCGTTGTTCCTCCGGTGCTCCACGCGCCCTGGCTCTTCATTGTCTCTGCCTGGCAGGGCGCGCATTGGCTCGTCTCTGCCCGCTGTCGACTGCGCGAGCGTGGGTTTCTCCATGTCGCTCT